TTGGTGTGACAGCCCACTCCACCCGGAGTGTGGCTTCCTCTTGGGCTCTAGCGGCAGAGCTGCAGGCTGGGCGACACCCAACAGATTCACTAGATTCTATAATCTCCGAGTGGAGCCTGTGTCCTCTCTTGTCCTCGCTCACCCGGCCAGTACTGGACCCGCTCAGGTGTCTTCGCTTGCTCGCCATTCCCCTCCATGACTGGGTAAGTGTGATTTTTTCTCAGCTGAGCCTTCTATTGAAGCCCTGAATTCCTCCAGCACTGTTGATGTTGACGCCAGTGTCTGTTGCCTGGGCGTCGGCGAGGTGCCTCCGTTTAGATGGTTCCTGCTAGTTCCTGCTAGTAAGATGGTTCCTGCATGTGTATTTCCACTGTAAGCCTCTCTGAGCATCGGCAAGCCACCTTGCCACCCCTGGAGTTAAGATTCTAGCCACCCTACGGGTTGGTGACTCCAGTGTTCCTCCATACGAAGCCCCCCGGGCCATATGTGTATTGCTAAGTCCTCCCTATGGGTAGGCGTACTGCGGCATATTTCCTATGGGATATGCTCCCCAGTGTACCTTGGTATTCCTGTGTTAAGTAGGACTCCTCGTCCGTGCTAGTTTTCACGACAGGGGATCAGACTTTCACAGGGCACTGGAAGATAGCTGTGAAGGTGGCGTGATTACACGGGGGACCCCATTCTCCGTCATCCGACGTAACTCGGAGTGATTACGAAAGGGAACGTCACGGTTACGTATGTAACCCTTGTTCCCTGAGTAGGGAACGGAGACGTTACGTCTCCCTGCCACTTCCGCTGTACCGCTGGGTAGACGCCTGAGTTCAGTCTCGGCTCCTCAGCGAAGACATACTGCGGTTGCGTTTGCTTCCTCCTTTTATACTCACGAAGTGAGGCGGAGTTACACTATGCAAATTCTGCAGACCCATGGCATTTTCTTGCCATTGGCTCGTTTTTTTAATACTCGAAGAGGATTGGCTTTCTAGGCGAAACCCCCATTCTCCGTCATCCGACGTAATGTCTCCGTTCCCTACTCAGGGAACGAGGGTTACAAACGTAACCGAGACGTTTTCTTCAGCAAAGACACATTTACAACGTTACAAAAGTATGTTTCTATTCCAAATAACTGCTGTTCTTTGAACTTTCCATGCATCATAATATCCTGGAAATAATGCAGCACAGTTTCTGCAAAAACATAAATCAGGGCAAACATTTTAAACTTTGGGCACATTTTCTGGAAAATTATTTCACTGTTTTGACAAAAAAAAATGTAAAGTAAATGTCACCCATGGTGACAAGTTGAAGTCACCGAGTCAAACACATGTATAAGGTCAAATAATGTAAGATTTAGGAGCAGCACAACAAAGTTTTTTCAACTCAGAGTGACCCGAAGCCATCAGTCCACACAGAACTTACTATTGAGCCCTGAATTACATGTTCATACTATCCAACTATTGCAGTGAATTCCTTTAGACTAGCCACCAAAAATAAAATATCAGTACTCAAGAAAAAAAAAAAAAGTAACTCATACCCATAAGGGAAATTTATACGAACTCGAGGAATCACTTGTGGTGGTACTGAATAATGAATTTGGCTTTTAGCTGAAGTGAAATATAGGAAATATCTTTCTGAAATATCCTGTATTACTCCTCAGAACAGCTTTCTCAACAGCACTTTAGCTTTGTGTTAATGAATTTCAGATTAGTGAAGTTTTTAGCTGATCCCAAAGCCGTACAAGCCTGCTGATACACTGACTGAATTATACACCATCTGGTGCAGCATTAATATATAAAACAAACCTTTTCACAAAAAAACAACAACAAAAAAAAAACAGTATCTGATCTAACACACCTTGGACTGTGTTACTACAATCTAAACAGCTTTAATGTTTCGATATGTCAGTATAAATAATACTTTTTAATTCTGCAATGATTTGTTAAGACTCTTTTTTATTCTAAATATTATATATCTAGATATTTATTTGTTAAGATGAAAAGACCTCACGTCTTTTCCTAATGTACTGCTGCAGCAGCTGTCACTGTATTAACTGTAGTTTCACTTGTCAGACAACTTTTTGGAAAAAGAAAAGACACCCAAAACAGCCCAGAGTTAGGACAGTGAAGTTCAGCGGGTTCACGTTGGGTCTTGTTTATATGCACTGATTAGATTTTTTGTGAAAGCTAATGTACATTATTGGCAGCCTGCCGACTGAGGTGTGGTCTTGTTCTGTTGGAGACCCCAGACTTCAGAAACAAAGAAGAAAAAAAGGCCAACACAATTGATGCACAAAAGAAAACAGAGACAATGCCTGCCTACTAAATGACAAAAATCTTCATTATTGTTAATAAGAGGCATGTTTACCAGAAAAAAATAATGGGTGCTCAATAGGCATTTTTTACAGCTTTTAAGAAGCCAAGTATTAAAAAATTTCAAGAAAGTATCCCAAATTAATTCACAACAAAGGTTTGGAGAAAAGCAAACAAACTGTCTTTCCAGTTAAATACCATTGCATACTGCATCCATCCATTCATTTCTATCTATCTATCTATCTATCTATCTATCTATCTATCTATCTATCTATCTATCTATCTATCTATCTATCTATCTATCTATCTATCTACCTATCTATCTATCTATCTATCTATCTATCTATCTATATATCTATCTATCTATCTATCTATCTATCTATCTATCTATCTATCTATCTATCTATCTATCTATCTATATATCTATCTATCTATCTATCTATCTATCTGTAAGCCTGTGAAACTGTTGACCTGTTTCTGCTGTCATCAAAGAGTCAGAGGCTCTTTAAACGCTCTCCAACTGTTCTGAGGTCACTGCGAATTTATGAGTATCCCATGAAGTTAAACTGCCTGTGGGCACATCGGCATGTATCTCTCAGAAGACAACAAGCTAGCTGTGAAATTCTTTGAGCTGACCTGAACCCCAAGCCCAAGGAGTAAAGGCTATGCCTGAAGACCTCACACAAAGTACCTAAGATGTCCATATTACAAGGGCATAGCACATCAACACATGGCAAGCAACCATGCGTAGTGCTCCAAGAAATGTCTTGAAAAGTGATCATCTTTTGTTTATGTTGCCAGTCATGTTGACACAAATAAGGAAACATTTTTAGCGCCCCTTTAAGAGTTCATGCATCCAAGATTGCCATTGCAATTGTATCAATACATCAATCAAATGACTAATGATATGCAGCGATGTAATGCATAAAATATTAATTTTTATACACCTTTCGATAGACCTTTATTTGATATTTACATTGTAAATATTTACTTCATGGCGCACATTTTCTTTTATATTCTACAAGCGGAAGATGATCACGATGCAGCAACAAAGCAGCACATTTCCAAAAGAAATGAAGACAATCTTTTCTATTCTGTTCTGTGAACAGAAGACTGAAAGGGTTTCTTGACTGTTGTCATTGCGTTTTTCATTGCACAATCCAGTGATGAGCGGTCATCAAACAATTGTTGATCTAATGTGTCACTTGATCCTTTTTATAATTTACTTTTCTAAGGTGTAATTTTTTTGTGATGCATGTTATGTATACAGTATGTGACGTAGGATTTACAGTTTTCAGGTAGTTATTTACAATTTTCAGAGAGTTTAATAAAATGTTTATAATATATTTGAGTTGCATTTGTGGGTTGAAAAACTTGAAGGATGAAAAACTTATTTCAGTTAGTTTTCAAGGCAACATTTCTAATTTTGGTTCAGCTCAATTCGAAACACTAAAATGATTAACTAGAAATTAAATAAATAAAATCTAAAACTGAAATGAAAACACGACCTGGGAGGAATGTAGTGTAGTCCAGTGGTGGAATGTAACGAAGTACAAATACTTAGTTACTTTACTTAAGTACATTTTTCACGTATCTTTACTTTACTTAAGTACAATAAATAGTGCCCACTTTTTACTTTTACTTCGTTACATTTTGCAGCAATTATTATACTTTCTACTCCACTACATTTCTACAGCTTCTGTTACATTTTCGTTACATTTTCTGATCAGTTTTTCCCCTGCCAAAACGTAATCTGACCGTCCGTTCGTTGCACGTTTGTCTCACCAGTGACGTTTGGTTGCCATAGATACAGTATATCAACCCGGTCACACTAAATGCGTCTCACACGCAGTGTGTTTATCATGCAACTCATACGCGAAAATTTGTTTTTACGTGCATAGGAAACACACCGTGTGTAATATATGTTTGGTTTGGTTAGGATTATGGCAAGCCATCCAAGAGGTTCAGAATTACACCATAAATGAATCGCGTTTACTGCCAAACATAGTTATTAACATATAGTAAGGATAAGCATGTGTATATTGCCTAATTGCAAGCTTGTTTCAGAAATGGTGACATTTTTTTCCATCATTATTGAACATCATTATAGGAGTAGGCTATTAGGTTGAATGAGTTAGAATTAAATGTTTTATTAATCATTAGAACATAGACATTAAGATAATAAATTGTTATGCAAGTACTTTTACTTTTAATACTTAAAGTACATTTAAAATAAAGTACTTTTTACTTTTTACTTAAGTATGGTTGTCATTGTGTTACTTCTACTTTTACTAAAGTAAATATTTATCTGGGTATTTGTACTTTTACTTAAGTACTGAGATTCAGTACTTCCTCCACCACTGGTGTAGTCCCTACCAGCCGTTTGGTGTAGTCCTTAAAAAGCAATTTCTTTAAAAGCAAATATCTCCCTTTGCTTTGAACATTGAGCGTCATAACTTTGCAGATGTTGTTTATGCTCAAACAGCAACATTACACTCTAGCTAAAGTTAGAAAAGTGAATTCATAATCAACCACCAACCTTTAACTAAGATGAAAAAATATGTTGAAGGAAAATTGTTCATTCTTAGTTCATGTTAACCAAGGTGAACCTTGAATTGAAAAGTTTTATAAAAACTATAATAGCATATAATTATTACTAAAATAACACTGTATCGTATTCACACTCCTATTCCTTACCTGTCCACGTATTTCAGAGTGGGTTCCTGAAGGATCAGCCCATGTGGTGAGTGTGTAAACGGTGGCTGGCGAATCAGTCTATAGGTTAGAGGATGACACGACCGGCACAAAGGATTGTCTGGCTTTGAGGCGAGCAATGTGGCGTCGATTTCCAAGTGCTGCTCCATGGTGAAGAACTGCACCCCATACACCTCCTCCTTCACATCTAGCTTCAGCGTTAATGGTGTGTCACAGAACGCATATTGTGGACCCAGCGAGATGTTGTTACCACTAAGGGTCAGCAAAAGGATGTCGTGGATTGCAGGCAATCCAGTCTCCTCCAGAGAGAAGAAGGTGACCCAAACAATGAGGGAGTCAGGTGCTAGCGGATAGGCAAACTCGAGCTGGAGCATACAGCCTTGGGGTGGGCAGGATGCTGAGCCAACACTACTCGAGTCTAGGCCGGCATTTGGGCTCCAAGTGCTGACACTCGCTTCGCAGGCCTGCTCTACATCTGGTGGACCTAAGGACAAAAGCAAAGGATGAAAACCAAGAACATGTCTCAAACTTGGTAGCACACACATACATTGTTTTCATTTTCTTTGCCCTTTAATACAATTTAGCAAATATATGATAAAAAATGTCAGCTGTAGTTGCCAGAACTTTACCGTAAAAAAAAAAAAAAATGGTAGCAACATTTTAGGTTTCAGGGAACTAAACCTAAATTTATGGTAAAAACAAAACAAAACAAAACAAAACAAAAAAACCTGTATATCATTAACTGTTATAAAATTACACCATAACACTCTGTTTTGAAAACAATGAATGAAACCAAGATGAAAACCAACTCAATAATAGACCATTTCACAAGATGTAAACAACACTGGTCCAGAAGCACTTCCTGTTTCAGTTTTTTAACACTACATAAAAGCTGGGATAAAATACAACCAACAGAACATTTAAAACTGAATCAAAAAGTTAAACAAACATCTTTAAGACGTTTTCTTTACATGTGAAATAAAGAAAACAGTTACAAACTGAAACAGGAAGTGCTTCTGGACCAGTGTTGTTTACATCTTGTGAAATGGTCTATACACGTGGTAAAATAAACACATGATGAGTATATTGTATATTTTTTATATTATTTAAAAAGTGTATTTTGTGTTGTGAAGATCCCAATTGGGGCCATTTTTAAAGTAATTTTCATCTCAAAGTCAAATCTGTGGATGAAAATATTTTTTTAACTGATTGTGTAAAATGGGCACATACAATTGTAATTCACTATTAATGTGCACAGTGTCATGCATACAAATGCAAAAGAGTACAACACATGACACTAAAATAATACAATAAATATTAATTAAATAACATAAGATGTGACATAAACCAGAATGTTTCATAACTAATAACAAAAATTAAAAATAAACATAATTATTAAATCGGTTATGGATTTTTCCAATCTAAATTAAAAGATGATTATTTGTTTTAATTCCAAAGTCCAATGTTTTCCAAAAACATTTTTTTTCACTGTGAATCTACCTAAAATGTCCTGTTAAATCTATTAAAAGTGTTTACCATTAGGGTGACCACCTGCTAATAAGCCCAAGGGGGGACAAGGGGTATGTTTCTGACGGACAATGTGGGACACTGCTTGGCGCGGCGGTGCCCCCATCCCACGGGAAGACTCTGATAGTGGTTTACCTCTATCTAGAATTGTTACTATTGCCTTACTGTTTGTACATGAATAATTGTTAAAAAAAAAAAAGCACATACCTTAGCACATACATTAATAATGCCCTATTCCCTAAACATCTGTAATTGCTGATATATTCTCATGAATAGGCCAACCAATGTGTATTTTTTTTTCTAAATAAAATGAATATTTTGAACATTCAATGAATTGACAGATGCACTTCCACTTACGATTTACTTTAGCTATTTAATTTGATTTATTTTTCATTACAATTAATTCACTTTAAATAAATAAAAAATATAAAATTATAGGATTAACAGGAATAATAGTTCCTCAACACCACAGGAACAGTTTTAAAAAAAAGTCGAAAAAAGGTCTAAACTCACAACTCCAGAGGTTCACGGAACGACAAGGTGCGCTGTCATGACAACAATGAAAAAGTTGACATCAACCTAGTCAGCAGGTGACGTGGGAGTGGCAAACAACCAGTCTTGGGGCATAGACATATGTCTATGGTCTTGGGGAAGTTCTCACTTTCTGAACTAGTTCAAAGTTTAGTTCACACATTTTAAAATGAACTAGTTCAGTTCAAAGTTTGCACAGAAATGTAAGATTGTTCCCATCTTCACCGACCTCGTTATAAAATCTGTTTAAATTATCATGTGACGCCTTTGTCGACGGCGGCCGCGGTGCGACACTGGTGGCTTGTGTTGCCAGATTGGGTGTTTTTTTTTCGCTACATATTAAGCCCTGTTTACGTTGAGTTTTAGCCAGGCTTTCGCCTGGAAGGCTCTATAGAAATCTGGCACCCCATTGAACGAAGTTAAACTGAGAGAGCGTGCGTTCACAGACACCAGAATGAACGAGTTCACACGTTAATCAGGACAGGCAGTAAAACAATACGTTCAGTTCACCCACAATATGAACGAGTTCATGAACGTGAACGAGTTCAGGCACAACGTTTGGCTGCCTGGGTCTCGAGGATATAGACTGACCGACATTGATTATGCGTGACACGGTCTCAATTTGCGGGACGCATGAATTGGGCTTCAAACGCTGTGCGCGCACGCGCTACGCGGGACGGGTGGTCACCCTATTTACCATATAAGGAACTTTGACGGAACGGAACTTTGACATTTATTTTATTTTTTATTTTTTTACAATATTTTACTGTTTTGTTTTTGTTTTGTTTTTTTTTTTTGTTTTTTTTTTTTTACATTTAGCGTGCTTGCCAGGGAATTGCTATGGGGTTAATGACCCTTAAACCCAAGAATAACCAATAGTAATACTGATGTTTGCCTTAGCAAGCACCACTAATTGTTTACAGATGAACATAAAAGAATATAGAAACAATCCTGAATGATATCAATTGCATTCTGTTATTACATATGATTATTGGGATTTTGGATTAATGAATGACATTCCCAAAACAAACAAACATTTTCTTAGACGGCCAAATGATGTTCTTCGGTGAGATGGCAGGAGGTCATGGGGAGAATTCTGGCCCTGGGCCCAGTTTTTCCTTTATAGAAACTGTCAAGAGGTCATTGTGAGGCATCTGAAGGGGGAGGTGACCAGAGAGGGGGTGAGCTTGACAGGGAGGCCCCACTGAAGCTCTGAAGGAAATTGTGCTTAAAACAGGAACTACAGCTTGCTGTTAAACTAAGTAAAGATAATAATTATTTTATATTATAATGATGAGTTTCTGTGGAGCATTATTTATTTGATTCCAGCAACCTTTGTTGGCATGCAGAACAATGCAGTCACTGTGGACAGGTTAAATACTCAAACAGATGAGAATGGTCCTTCATCCTACATGGGTTGTGTCAGAAAACCTAGGCAGCTGGCTTGTTGTCTTACTGCTGTATCAGTGAGAAATGTGAATATTTAGTAAAGCTGCAGTATACAGTTTTTTTCTCTTTGTCGCCATCCCTGTTCGAAATCTGCAATTGCAGTCATTAGTGAAATTATCAACTTTACGTGAGTTGTACTTCAACACCCTCGACACGGCACAGCGTGGATGAACACAATGTTGGAGGAGCCGGTGTGGATACTGTCATTCAGAATCACAGATTATACTTTTTGTTTTTTCTGAACTAGTAAGAAACATTCACCTTTGTTCTGGCTCTGACATTGCAGTTAATTGTGCTGATTAAATCTAACAATCACTTAAACGTACAGTATGCGATTTTTGGCCACCAGGGGTCACTCGTTTAAAATAATAACAAAAGACGTACTTTGATGACGTCGGGAAAGAGCGTGGGCTCACGGGAGTTGTTGTCGCTGTCAATAACAACCAGCTCAGCTCATGACATGACATCATCGTTTCACAAAATATACGGCATCTCTCTGTAGATTTAGCTTGTCAAGAAGCTTTAAATGCAACCCAAATGTTTACCTGTGTCATGCTTCTCCTGTCCCAAACCCTTCTCTGGTCATATTTTTCAGGTACGTTTGAGCTTTAGCTAATGAGCTGGCTGTAGCAGCAGAACGTGCAGGCAAAGCGTAATCGTGGTCCATAACTATAATACAGACGAATATAAATATTAATATTACGCTACTTCAATGAATGACCTATTTTAGAACATTTTTCATATATAGAGCGCACCGGATTATAAAGCACATGAGATACTGCAGTCAAACGTTTGACTGGGTTTGCGTTATTCATCCACTATGTGCTAAAGGCTAAAGGGAATGTAGTAAGTGCGCGGCGCCGGAGGTGAGGCGTTTATTTAGTAAGCATGAGAGAGCTGAAGCGGGCACGTACATTCGCAGCCTGACTTATAATGAGTATTCAATGTGCGCGGCTCGCTAACAGCAACAGTTGGCTGTTTTGAATGAGACGACACGGTTACTGGGGAGCGCTTTATGCGCGAGCAGCACCGGGGACAGTGTGTCTGTTAAGAGTGAGCGCTCGTGAGTGGGCACGTGATTTACACACATAAAAATACGTACTACTTTTTTTTCTTCGTCATTTTCTTTGCTTTATTGGCGGTAGTCCAGTGTTCCCCTTTGTGTTTGTCGGTTTCGCCGGGTTCCGCAAGGAAGTTAGAGAAAATAGAGGAGTCAAAGGTTATATGACGCCATAGACGGGCGACGAAACGGAAATATAGAAACGTCCCGTGTCTTCGAATTAAACTATAAATTTCTCCGTATTTGAAATTTGGTGGAAACTGTCGGGATAATGTAAGTACACATCTAACAGAAATATATAACATAGATACAATTATTTGTGCTATTTTTAATGCAGAAAAAATACATATTGTGGCTTTAACATATGATAACAAAGTTATCATATCACGCAAAACCATGCAAATTATACTTTGTTCTCAAATTGTTAATGTTAAAGAGCCCCTATCATGGATTTTTGAAAATGACTGTTCATGTAGTGTGGAATATAGCTCTAAGGGAATGAAAACATCCTGCAAAGATTTATATCTGAAAGTGCACCGTATATAAAGTTATTGTCTTTCAAAAGTGAGAGTCGACTCTGAGTCTATGAAATGAATTGTTTTTGAAACGAGTCATTAGCTGTTTCGTAGTCATAGACATATACACTAGACCTCACCTGGGGGTTCTAAGCATGCGTCAAAACCGCCGCCATCTTGGAACAGGGGTCTTGTCATAGGAAGTGGCTAGGTAACGCTGCTATCTCTGCCTTTACTTCGAATTCATTGATGGTGGCGGACTTTTGTGCAGCGTATGAAGTTCACGGATGAAATCTGAACTAGGAAGAATGTTTTAAAAAAAAAAATTAAATTTTTTTTTTCTTTCTGGAATCAATGATAATTACATGTCTGACCGTTGGAACAAACCAAAAAACAAGAAAA